TACGTGAAACAACTGCTATGGGAGTCGTAGGCATAATATATTGTGTTGGTATATGTCATACTTTCCGTTGACGTCAACACATCGTCTTTCTCTAAACTGGTGAGCCCAACCGTGAACCTCATCTTCTTGGGTAAACACTCAAACAAATCGTGACTTCGTTCCATTTTAATATTTACTATATTTTAATTCCGTTTTACTATGAGTGACCATACACCAAAACTCATCCGTATCTGACCAACTGGCTAACCCTATTTTAGCTCGTGCAGTTTCCGTTAGACAAAGCAGAAACATGGTTTCTGTTAACCAAGGCTGACTTCTGTGAACATGGAATCACTGACCAATGTTCACAGTCTCTTGCAGTTGTACACGCTCTATCACGGGAATGAAGTAAATGCATTACTGCGCAAATGTTCAGCCTAAAGGTAAGAAACACTTTCGAGATGCTTAAAGCAGTTTTCCTCAAGAGAAAGGATTTGTCGGATCGTCAACGTCTTGATGAACCCTTTCGTAATGTCCAGCTAGGCGACCAATCGGCTATACATATGCTTGCACGAATGCAGGAAGTTATCTCCTGATTGGTCCTGATGCCAGAAGCAAATTGAAATCTACCAATCAGGGAGTGTGTAAGTTGCCTACTGGTGCGTAGGCGTCGGGCTGGTTATACACCGTAGGCAAATTATACGTTTAAATCGCTAAATATACCCATTAATTCATAAGGAAAAACACGGTGTTTTGCGAACAACACCCGTAAATAATGGATACCCTAAAAGGTTTATCGATAGAAACATTAAGAAAAAAACCATTCCCAGACAAATCACAACTCTGAAGAAGACACTGTTTATGAGTTTGGCTTTCAAACCTGACACTATTTCTGAAGTAACTAAAAGTCGTTTATTTTAATGTAATAAACGGTTTTTTATGCAGCTTACTTACCAGGTAAAATATGTTTCGACAATCCGTCAAGGATAAACTACCGCATATGTCCACCTCTATGTGCATATATTCATTCACATACACATGTGAAGCTGATTACATTGGACGTTGTAAGCGTGTCCTCCGTAAACGCGTGGTTTAACACTACCCGTTAGGTTAATGAAAGGTGAGCAAACGACGACAAAGTCTTGAATCTGTGAACACCTTCTGGAGTCAGGTCATTCAGCCCCATGTGATTTATCTTTTAAAGTTATCTACAGGACCAAATCCGATCACTCCAAAAGCTTACGTTTACTCCACTTATGCATAGCCGAAGCTCTAGCTATACATGGTCAGAAATCTAAGTAATGTATTCAAAAACGTTTTGTGTAACCCCTTTCTTCGCCTTGGTCATAGCAATTTCTTTTTATTTTATTTTTGTTCTACCACTTGAATTCATTCCACTTCACTTTCACCGTCATAATCTGTTGGAGGATTTCATCATGAAATGAAATCAGTTAGAGAACCAGTGGAAAACCTGCAGGGAGTAATGGACAGACAACTGTTTCGTCAGCCTAGTTTGGGAATTTTCGTCAGTGCGCACCCACCCCATCGGAGTTTGAACCCAGGACCTTCTAGTTACAAGGGCAGCGAGCTTGTAGACCATTAAGCTACTGGGTCCCACTGAATCCAATGACTAGCCCATGAATTCTAACTCCTGCCAATTCATGACACACATAGCACGACCACTTTGCAATGTCTTCTTCGGGGAGTTACTGCGTCACCTTCAACCGTCATTATCATTATCACCATTGTACTCCTTATTTCTTAGACAACACTTGACCTACTATTTTAAAATCTGTATACCAGTTCACTTATTTAATAAGCTTTAAAAGTTTTATAATTCATCCACTTCAACTCTATCGCGCCACCTTAGTACATCTCTTTAATTATCTTTATTCTTATCATCACATGTGCAATGTTGACTACTGAGCAATTTCTAGTGCTCCCACTTAACGCCTTCTTTTTCCGTCATATAAATACAACTGGACAGCTTGAAAATAAAGTCGTTGAAAAGAAATACATTTCTTCGCTGAACAAAATGTCTCAGTTTACTGGGCATCAGGCTGATAAGCCGATTATGGTCTTTATTCACTGCGCCATATGTGAGTTTACAGCCCTGTGTTTTGATTGGCCTAGAAACATATATATCTTTTTCGAGCTAGAACAAATAAGTGGAGAAAGTGTAACACTTACGTTGTTTATAAATCGTTCCACAAATTTCTGAAAAACAAGTTTCAAAAAAGAAGACAATAGAAAAATGATTGTTAGACAAATTTTAGTCTTCATAGATTATGTTATCTCTATATTTTTTACTAGTACCTACATGGGTATTGCACATTATCCCATGATTTTAGGATTAAGAAAACCAAAGGTGAAATGCGGTAAAAAGAGCATTCAGTGCTGCTGAATTACGCTATGTCATCAAAACCACCCCTATTTTGCATTCGGGAGCAAAAGATAAACTGCCTAATTTCACCTCTTCCATGTGTACCTACCAATTTAACTGCTCCTGTGGAGCCACTTACACATAGGCCGTACAATTAGGCGTGTTTCTTGTCATATTTCCGAACATCACCCTGCAAAGTGGTTAAGTAAGGGACAAACAAACTCCATTGATAGCGCTATTCTATCTCATCTTGTGGATACAGAACACAAGATTTAATTAGTGGGTGGTGGCTAGCAGTAGAATCCAGGATAACGCGTATTTCGTCCTATCTAGGACTCTCCAACTGGATGTCCATAGTTTCAAACGCCAAAGCGTTAGCCTCGGTGGGAAAATCATCACTCACTGCGGAATGCATCTACATCCAGCTAGAGGACGAGTCCCAAATAGGACGAAATGCGCGCCCTGGCTTGATTCCACTGCTAGTCACCATCAACCAATTGACTTCGAGTTACGTGACCAGATATCGTAGAAGCATCTGCATAAGGAGCCTACATTTCAACCTGAGACCAAGCACTTCGGTCCAATCAGTCGACGAGAAAATCTAACATTGAATTAAAGAACACAAGATTGATGTTAACGAGGCGGCTTTCAAAGTCATTCACCGCATACCAACAAATCTTAACTTCAAGTTAAGAGTTCGTCTACTACATACTGCTGAGGCTGTTGGGAACCGCATTAAGAAACCCAACTTATGTATGTGTCCAAAAGAAGCTAGTTCAGACATTATCCTTACCTTGGCCATCTAGGTTCGTATGATACTCACCTTTTTTGTAGAAATTTACTCAACGTTTGCCATTATATCTTTATTATTATTATTCCTCTACCAAGTGTTCGTCTTCTACCGTTGCAATACTGCATTAGTGTGTATTATTTCAAATAGACTTATCTAGTACGGAGTCGCATTCTCCTACAGCATTCAAGTTCCAAACTAACGTCAATTTTTCAAGTCTATGCGCCTGACACGTTGAGAAATCTCAAATCGAGTCCACTAAAGACATTTTTTTGTAAACTGATAGAAAAAACTTGTGGCTTTGACTATAATGTGTATGAAATGAAATGAGTTTGTAGAATCACTTAGAAAAAGTACTTGGACAGGACAATATACACACTTTCACAGCTTTGTTCCAATCAAATACAAAAGGAATTCAGTGAAGACCCTTAGCCACAGAGTTAGAGATATATGCTCTGAAGAAGTAATTAAAGATGAATTAAGCATGGTATATGATACTTTAATCAAAAATGGTTATCCTGACAAATTTATCAAGAAACATATGTTAAAGAAAGCCGAAAAGGACTACCCACTATCTGTAAACAAGAAGCCACTTTATATACGACTACAATTCATGGGCGATATGCCAAGTGAGTTAATTACGAAGAAATTAAGAAAATCAGTTCAAAGAACTTTTAATGCTGGCGAACTACACGTATTATTCTCTACACGACCGATGGTGCTACCTCGACTGAAAGATGAAGTACCTAGACTAGACTAGCCACTTCAAATTGTATTTATCAATTCAACTGCACTTGTGGAGCGAGTTATATTGGCCGTTGCTCTAGGAACTTGAATTTTCGTGCTCGAAAACATATCCCACTATGGCTAAGTAAAGCTATAGTTAAAACTATTAACAGCTCGATATTAGACCATCTGGTGCAAACCGGTCACAAAGCCAGCGTAGACGAATCCTTCTCCATAATATACCGGGTGCCTAACAAATTACCAAAGTTGTCGAAGCACCGCATGCTCCAAACATCAGAGGCTGTTGCAATTCGCCTCAAACAACCAGTGCTATGTGTCCAAAAGAAACAAGTTCAGCCCCTACTACTGCCCTTGCCCTCAGTAGAGACTATAAACTCATGAATTTGTACTATTACCTTTCCTAATTCTTCTGACATTCAGTTTATTTTATGTTGATGCTGTTCAGCTGTAATTTATCAATATTATTGATTTGATGTTATTTAAGCAACATTAATGTCGTTCAGAAAGACTAATTCATTCATTCATTATAATGTATATATATAATTGTAGAACCTGATGATGAATTTATCGAAAAGAGTACTCTTTGTTCCGTGTCTATTCTTTTGAGAATCAAGATTGTTAGTTTCATTTGGGAGGTCCAGACCAGAATAAATACAAAATTTGAAAAAAAAACTTTACCAAAGACTGATTATAGAAAACGTAAGTGAAGGTATTCCGAAGAATCCTGAAAAGTACTCTTATTCAACTTATCAGTTCGTAAACTGAGTGAAATGGATACAGAAACACTATCACAAGGATTCAAATTCCACATCCCTGACGAAATATGCCGAAGAAATAATAATTTCGGAACTCATTTCGAAAGTTTGCATTATCAACTGTCTGAATTAAAACCAGGGTACGTGCTATGTATTTGTCTTTCTTGCTTTGTTCAAGTTTATTACAGGGGGAAGAATTGTACGAGGTTTTTAAAGAAGCGTCTCTCTCTCGCCAATCTTTCAAGTCATTGAATCACCTGTTGACCATACAATGCAGGATATCGAGCGGGAATAACTAGGCAAAAGTTCGTCGAACAATATTCATCACAAGTAGACAATAACTTACTCTCTGCATACGTAATGTTTGTGGATCTTTGAAATTGATATTTTCCCAAACTGATCGAATTCTCTGGCGAAATGAAAAAGAAATGAGAATAAAATTAGACAAACAACGGTATATTTTATTTAAAAAAAGTATATATGGTCAGGTAGATCGAAAGGAAGTGTGTAATTGTCGACTAAACGGTCGCCAATCATGCAGGAGGTTCAGGTTCGATTCCCGACCCATAGGGTGTGAAAACACATGAAAACAACCAACTACATTCAAGGTCCCCCACCAGGAGAGATGACTAATGAACTCGTGGAGAAATCTGAAAGCTCACATCAAATTAAAGTACATACGCTGAAGGAAGATGTTGCCTAGTAGATCAATGAATGCTTTGCAAATAAAGCATCCAGCTGCAACTGCATCGAAACCATCCACCTGAGCTACAAATCCTTTCCATTATATCTAAAACCGACTATGTAATGCTTTAGAATTTGAATTTAATTGGTGGTTGGTGACTAGCAGTGGAATCCAGGATGCGCATTTCGTCTTATTTGGGACTCGTCCTCTAGCTGAATGTACCTGCATTCCCCGGTGAGTGATGATGTTCTCACCGAGGCTCGAACCCAGTGTCCATAGTTTCAAACGCCAAAGCGTTATCCACTAGACCGCTTGGGCCAAGAGAGCCACCTCTTGTGCAACGTGTCATATTAATTATTTAATTGAATTTTAGACTTTCCCGTCGATTGATTGCACCGAAGTGCTCGGTCGCACACAAACCAGCAAAATCACTTCACTCAGTTCTGTGTCAGCCAAAAGACTCAACAACCAAAGAAGATAAAACCAACATCATCTACAAAATAAATTGTAACAACTACGAAAAACACTACATTGGCCAAAGAGGACACCCCTCCCCTTCGTCTTCGTATCCACGGTCATAAGCTAGCCATCAAAAGACATGACATCCACTCTCTTATATCACTTCATACAGATAACCAAGGACATCAATTCGACTGGAACAGCGTTAAAATATTAGACAGAGGAAACAACAAGAATACTAGAGAATGTTCAGATATTGCTGAATCATCCGTACTAGTAGCCTACATGTCAAAAGAGACCCAGCTTTTCAGTCCGTATTTTTTTTTAATGTTCTAGTGGTCCCTCGGCTGGGGACCAATTATAAAAGGGGAGGAGGTATTAGGAGAGATAACCTATTGCTGTTAACCGTTAAATCATGATTTATGCACTCGTTAACATGATAACTTGATTGGACAGTTTTTGGTTGGTTTATTTTTGGCTTGAATTTCTGAGGAATCGCTATATCATACAACCAATCAGATTTGCGTATTTATTTATTGCTAGAACTCTTGTGATAATGTTTCATTGAGCAGTATTTGACCTTACACTAAGAGCCAATTAGGATGGGCTGTTTCATCATTGACCTAGAGTAAATTTATGTGAGTAGAATTGATTTTATAGTATCATGTACTATTTTATACACTCAAAGTCGTTAATAGGTAGTTTCTGATACTGGAATAACCATAAAAGCCATGGTGGCTAATATACATGCTAGATATCTCAATGATATTAGCATCTCTGTACACATAAAGGATACTGCCTAATACAGAGCTTGTGTGGTCACCGGAAGGTCTTTGGTTCGAAATATAGTGGAAGCATACTGCCGATGATTCCCAAACTAGGATGAAGCAGCTGTCCAATACTACCTGCTGGTTTTCAATGGTTCTCTAACTGATATCAATCCGTGGTCAAACTCGTAAAACAAATCTAATCCTTACAAATCAATCATAGAAAATTAATCTGATGCTCACTAGTGACTTGCTACAGGACGGAGTTTCCTAGAGTTAGTTCTAGTGAGAAGTCGTGACCAGTGAGGTCCATCCAGTCGGGAGTGAAGATGAACTTCCCGCTGATGACACTGGTAGGTTGTCGCGCTAAAATCACGAATCGGTAGAGGTTGGAATCCACGGGCTGACCATTGAGTTGTGTCCCAGTAGCTGAATGGTCTACAAGATCGCCTTGTAACCAGAAGGTTCTGGGTTCGAACTCTGGCGGTGGATGCTTAGAGCTGATGAGTCCCAAGAGAATTGAACCAAACAGCCATCCAGTAATCTAGTGCTGGTTTTCAATGGATTCCTAACTGATATTAGTCCGTGGTCTAACTCAAAAAATAAATCAACTCTTGCAAACTCTTTGATCCATCAAATATTTGATCAGTTAGATGTTTTAATATTATGGCTAAACATTTCCTCTTCTAACCATCTCAGTATAATGAATGCTCACAACAGGTAGAGCTATAGAGGATCATTACCAGGGGAGCCTTCAAAGTCTACTTATCAGCTGAAAGAATCCTTAAATCCCAATTCCTACACATTTATTCTAATGTATTTGAATACTCTAGCATATGCTTCCCCTTTGATCTTTTATCACAATTCAAATGATAGGAGTTCTGGAGATTATGGATTGAATTCAGTTGTCAGATTTTCGTCATGAACCAGCACCAGTTAACGAGAGAGATCACTGAACAGGGGGAAGCGGCAGTGAACAGCTGTTTCGCCCTATTTTGGATACTCTTCAAAACATTGCGCAACCACGACCGTCCCAGGGATCGACCTGTTAGCCTTCAGGTTACGAGAACAATGTCTTCGTTGACCATTCAGTCACTTAGTCTGGGATTCGATAACTCGTGAATTTGAACTTTTATCGAGCATTGGTTTATAGGGATATCCTTTGATTGGTTGGAGGATTTTATCATGAGCTGACGTCGGTTAGAGAACCAGTGGAAAACCTGGTACAGCAAGTCGAAGGTAAAGACATTGCGAAGTGGTTGAACTATGTCATGAATTGGTGGAAGTTAGAATTCATGGACTGAACATTGGACTGGTGGGTCCTAGTCACTTAATGGTCTACAAGCTCGCTAGCCTTGGAACCAGAAGGTCCTGGGTTCGAACCCCAGCGGTGGGGTGGGTGCGTACTGATGAAGAGTCCAAAACTAGACTGACGAAATAGCTGTCTGTCCATTGCTCCCTGAAGGTTTTCCAATGGTTCCCTAACCAATGTCATCTCATGCTGAAACCCTCCAACCAGTTATAATTTTGCTCCCAAAATCCCCACAAATCCTAAAATTTGAATTGCGATCCCCAGCTCACTTGATGATCACTGGATGGATTTTCTGAAGATTCATCGGGAAGTCGTGACCAGTGAAGTTCACCATGTCAATATGAAGTGGATTCTCATCGATGTCATTGCTGAGGGCAACGCCATGTCACGGAATGACAAAGATAGATTTCGTGAGTCATTAAATTCGAGCTTCCAAGTCTCTGAATGGTCACCAAACTCTCGTGGTAACCTGAATATCCTGGTTGGGTGAGATCACTGGTGCCTGCTGACGAAGAGTCCCAAACAAGGGCGAAATAGTTGTCGAGTACTTCCTGGCTTCACTGTTTCTCAAACTGAAGTCCGTTTGTCATCAAACCTGAAGTCCTTATACCTCCTCAGGTCTAAATTTCGTTAGAAAGGCTTCCAACAACAGTTCATGTGTCGCTTTTAAAAGAAAGTGAATTTTTGTAACAGAATTTCCTCAGGACAGAGAAGAATATTGATCATTGCCATCATAGGTCAAGTTTCTTTGACCATTTTGTATTGATTTTTCTCAGTCTTTCATTAGTTTTGATATTTTTGAACTATTCAGGTTGCATTGAATGCTAGGCATAGTTGTAGACAATTCACCTTCGATCTCCATTTGTAAACTAGGTCAATTTTTTCTTACTTTAAAAAAATTAGTTTTCGTTTATTCGACCTTTGAAGTTAGCATTTAAATGAAGTATGTCCTTATTAGATTTGCAGTGAATAGTTTCAATTCTGTTTTTGCTTTATGGCTGAGATAATTGTCTTGAGAGAGTCATAGGTCCTTTTTGAAGAATCATCCGTTCTTTTCTTATTGTATAATTTATGATTTAAAAATCTATGCAAGCTCTCGTGAGATCAATTCGTAGACATCCGATTGGTCAGTTCACAGACACTGTCCAAATCCCCAATTCTGTTACATTAACCTTATCCATACCTTTAGACATATTTATTTTCAAGTATTGGTTTTTGTAGGGAATTAGTTTGATTCGTTGGTTGGAGGATTTCATCATGAGCTGACATCGGTTAGGGAATAACTGGAAAACCACCAGGGAGCACTGGACAGCCAGCTGTTTCGTCAGCCTAGGCTGGGACTCTTCAGAAGTAGGCACCCACCCATTTGGGGTTTGAACCCACGACCTTTTGGTTACAAGAATAGCGAGCTCATAGACCATTACGCCACTGGGACCCAATCTAATGACCAGCCCATGAATTCTAACTTCTGCCAATTCATGACATAGCGCGACCACTTCGCAATGTCTTCTTCGATGAGTAACTGTTCATACCTTCGACCTTCATAAAATGGTAGAAGTCAGAATTCATGCAGTGGATATCGGTCTGGGTCCCAGTGGCTTAATGGTCTATGAGCTCGCTGCCCTTGTAACCAGAAGGTCCTGGGAACGAACCCTGGTGGTGGGTGCGCACTACTGAAGAGTCCCGGACTAGGCTGATGAAACAGTTGTCTGTCCAGTACTCCCTGCAGGTTTTTCAATGATCCTCTAAACGATGTGAGCTGATGGTGAAATCCTCCAACACATTTATTTCTTAGAGTATTTTTTTATTATTCAAAACTAGGACCTTCCACGACTTCAGTTAGACAAAATCATTGCACTTATTGATTTCGTAAGCATAATTTCTTGTTTTAATGAAGACCATAAAGTTTTCATCAAATAGTCCCTGAATAAATCTTCAAACAGTACATCTGGACAATAATCTTAAATTACAGACTTAGAGTGAAGTGATTACACAAAAATTGCAATAGACTTAAATTTTAGAATGACGGGAAATTAATACAATTAATACCGTAGGTACTTTATTACCCCATTACTATCTTCAGATCACAATATATATTAATGACTGATTATGGTGAGTGGCTGAATGCTGCCCACATCAACCAGGGGTGGTTGCTCCGCAGACTGAAGTGATCTGAAGACCGGATG